CATGGTCGTACGAGATGCCGTGGATTCAGCGAATGACGGATGGCTGTAATTTGCTGCCCGAGTACACCTGTATCGTCGATCTCTTTTCTCGCACGGAATAGCCGAAGATCTTCTCCTCCACATGCCGTTTGGGCCTGGATCGAGCAGTCACAAATCTCCAAGGTTTTAAGTTTTCTCCTCCTGTGCATATACGGTAATCATAGGAATCTCAAAACCTTGAAGTTTTCACCCATGAATTCAAGGAAAATGTAAGACGAACTCCAGTAAGAAAACAGAGTAATACACACAAAAATATTGCTAGACTTCACTGAGACAATATGCCAAGTCCGGAATGGGGATCGTAGAAAATGCCTCGAGCTCGTCCAGAGCGTCCAAACACTGGATCTACACTCAGGCATTGTGAATTGCAGCGATATCTTCCTCTCCAACAAGCTCATCGAAATGTTTGGGCGACGTGGGGAGTGTCCACCACCCTTCGATCGAATTGCCGCCAAGGATAGGTTCGCGTGGGTGTTGCTGCTACACGCGTACTCCCGCAAAGGCTACTTGAGAGAGGCCAAATCCACCTTCGACCCAATGCCGCAGCCCAACATGGTGGCCTGGAACGCGATGCCTTTGGCATTTGCCATGAAAGGGCAATCGCAGGGAGAGAGACAAATCTTTAACAAAATGCTGGCAAAAAATCTAGTCTTGTGGGTCACAATGCTTGTCAGTATGCGGTGCAAGTTAATGTTTTGCAAAAATGCCTGACAAAGATCTTGTTAGCTTCCACTCATTGCAGCAAATAGTAATAATATATATTTAATAAAAGTTAATCAAGACAAATGTATTATATTAGGTTTATATTCTGGTTAGTGCTTAAAAGGGTAGTAAACTCTTAAAGCAATTCAGTTCTAGAAAAAAAGGTAATCTCTCAAATAATCTCTTTGACTAATAGAAATTAGTAATTGGTAATTTATACTAAATATTACCCAATTTAATAAGCTTATATTATTATAATCCTACTAATAAACAAATTTGGTAACAGATAAACAATTATATCAAATAATCAAAGCATACAGAATTTTTAGAGTTTTAATATTCTTTAAAGACTAATTTGTAAATCATTTTAGAGTTTTCTCCCATTAAAAGTATATTATTTCATATTTATAACAAAAATCATCTTTAAAATGTAATTAAAAAATAATATGATATAACATAAATATTATATTAAAAATACTGTATATTACAATATTTAAACAAATTAAGATTCTTTGGAGAAAATAATACAAACAAAATTTAATTTATTACAGAATAATTTAGGAATTTTAAAGTTTAGAAGTATTCCAATTACTTAAAAAAATTTAAAAAACAAATAAGTGACTATAAGAAATTTATATTCTTATTTAAACATTTTTGATGATATCAAAAATATAAAATTAAAGGTTTAGAATGTAAAGTTATAGCACCACAGTTAAGATTCACCAAAAACAATTTTATGTTATTATCAATTATAATTTATTGTAAATATTTTACTACATTTTATATTATTTTAGAAAAATATACAATTACAGTGAAAGATAATTTTTAATTTTTTAAGTATTTATGAAATTATATTTAAGTATATTAAATAATATAGAAGGAAGTATTATTAAAAGTAATAAATTATAATACCCTCAAAATGTTCATATAAAAAGTAACTAAATTTAAATAATTATTTTAAATTTAATTTCTTTACAAAGAAATATGTGTTATTGTTGAAATTTTTAATTATACTTCTCAAAATATTATATCTTGACTTGATATAAACGAAGTATTTATGGTTTATAGTAAATGTAAAATAAAGTTAAAATGTAAAATATGTATTATATAGTTTTTATGGTAATATGTATTAAATTTTCTCATGAGATTTATGAGATGTATATACAATTTATAATATTTTTGTAAATAGTTATGTTTTCTATATTAAATGCCTATTTAGTTATAGAACATCATTTTTACTATTATTTATAAAGGTTATTTTAATTGTAGAGCATATGGTTTATATATGATAATTATGTATATAATTTTACATTATAATTAATTAATTATTTTAATAAAAATCCAGATCCATACTTGTTTTGTATATTCAATTTTAAATCTAAACCATAATTATGAATAATATAGTAAAACATATGGTGGAAAATATTTCTTTCTTTTATTTTCTATAACTATTTCACCAAGTGATTTAGTTTAATCATGTAATTATGCAATATGTTGAATGTATACTAATAAATAAAAAAGTGTAAAAGTTACTATTTTATTATTTCATACAAGTTTTAGCTTTTTCAATATTAGTTATTCCATTATATTTAAATTGATGAAAATAATATTAAATCAGTTTTAAATAAAAATATTAAAGTATAAAAAATAAGTATGAATCACAGCTTTAATTAGCTTTATGAAATCTAAAGTTGCCATAATGGTAATTAATAATTATGAAAATGAACCACTACAAATGTATGTGGGATTAAAATATGAAGACAAAGAAGTGCCATAAATTTGGAAGAAAATTTAAATTGAAATTAAAATTTGGAGAAGCTGCCAAGCCTGTGGAAAGAGAAAAAGTTTACTTGAGGATAACGTTTTTGACAAAGGTAAGTTATATACCCATTCCAGAAGATATTGCTCGGGTCCTGGCAACATCACGTCTATGTTCTTTATTCTATATATATTAACAAGCTTAAAAGTGTTGATTTTTTTTAAAAATTAATAATAACCATATAAAAAAATATCAACTATTGATGCATGGATTGGGATCAATGTGATTTGAATGTAAATAAATATTAAAAAATAATTAACCAAGACAACTAAATGTTAGTATTTAATGGATACAGTTTAGTAGTGCATCACTTTTATTTTGCTTGGAACAAAATAAAAAGAAAAACTGTAAATAAATTTAATGAATGATGGATTACAATCAATCTCGCTCGTAAAATGTTTTTGCTATCACAACCATCATTAAAAACAAAAATTTATCGACACTTTGCTTAAATAGTTAGACTCAGAATATGCTAAGCTTGGCTTTTTTTATGGGAGATGCTTGGGATCGGAGAAAATGCCTCGAGCTCGTCCAGAGAGCTGCCAAGGATCTACACGCATGCATTGTGAATTGCAATCAGCAATCTTCCTCTCCAACAAGCTCATCGAAATATATAGGTGTGTCCTCCACGCGCAACAAGCCTTCGATCGAATCCCTGTCAAGGATAAGTTCTCGTGGGTCTTGCTGCTGCACGCGTACTCTCGCAATGGATACTTGAGAGAGACCAAATCCACCTTTGACGCGATGCCACAGCCTAATATGGTGACCTGGAACGCGATGACGGCGGCATAATGCCTCGGTAGATGCACAAAATCACTTTCCTGATGGTGAAACTTTCTTCTTTGACAATATGCCCGACAAAGATCTTGTATCATGGAACTCAATATTGTCCGCAGATGCCATTCAGGGTAAACCAGCTAATGAATGTGATTTCGTGGAAGAACTTGCTATGGAAAAAGGCATTTAGTTTTAAAATCTTCGATTTCGAGATAGACCATGTCACTGCTCACAGTGTATGCAGAAGTAACGGGGCTGGTTTCGATGGAATCCAGCACCAAGACATGGGAGTGTATGCCCAAAACGTTTTCCTGACGACGAATCCCGGAAGATCTTTGATAACATGCGACGAAGCAAGTCTTTGATGTTATGCCGGAGAAGAATGTGTTCTCCTGGACGATCATTCTCGCTGCTCAGGCAGAAAGGCCATCTCGGAGACACTTTTGGAAGAATGCCACCATCTCATGGAGCGCTATGCTTACTGCCTACACAAAGCCAAAGATTGCCAGAGGACATGTTTGACGAGATCACTTCCTTGATAAACTTTGCCTCGATGTGTGCAATCTATGATCTTGGAGACGAAACATACGTGATCCGGGGAGTAAACCATCTATGCCACTTTGTGTCCAATGGTCGAAGATTTCGGCTCAAACACCACTACTTGTGTGTGATCGACTTGCTTGGAAAGACTTGGAGCTTGCTCAAGAGCTCATGAGTTGCATGCTTTTTGTGCCGGAAGCCGTGGACTACAAAGCCCTTGGCTATGGCTCTTTCGTCGCAGGCCGTGCTGTTGCATCTGGAGCCGTGGAGGAGTCGTCAGCTTATGTACAATGAGAGAAATTACATAGAGCCTAAGCCTCGACAGCTTGTCGCGGCTGCCACCACCTCGGTTTCCATGCTGTTGCTTGCTTCAGCTGGAACGCTTGGTCCAGAGCTCGAAACAAAAGCGCTTCCACCCCACGTAAACGCCTTCAATCGCCAGCGCCGCCAGCTCCCGTGGCGGATCAACCCGGCACACCGCCCCCTCTTTCGTGAAGCTCAGCACTCGTTCGCCATAACTCGCATCAAACTCTTGCTCAGCCTGCGCCTTCTCAAAGCACTCCCGGTAGTCGTCCCTGTTCACGAACGGCGGCTCCTGCTTCATGCTCTCCACGAACAGTACGTTTGGGAAGGGCGTGCATCAAAATGGCTGCCAGGAGTATCCTCCCCATCCGACCGTTTCCATCGCTGAAGGGATTCAAACTCGCGCACGTCTTCATGTGGCCATCGGACATGCCCGCCGGTCCGTGACACCAACACAGAGCTCCGAAAGCTCTCATCCACAGGTATGGAGGAATTGAATGCCCCGAGCTGGGAGGAGACACTGCTCAAGCTCGGGTCCCGGTCCACGAAGAACAAAGAAGAGCTCTCTACTCGTAAACAGTTTTAAGAAGCGCCCTTGCTCGTTCATCGCCGTCACGACCAAGCTCCTCGAAGGCGATCTCGTCGTGGAGGCGCAGCCTTCCTGCGATGTCCGGTCGCTTATGCACCTCCAGGATCCCCAAGAAATGCAAATAGTAAATCACCTTATTAACATAACCTATGATTGATATTTTTTATGAGCGCCGCACTTTGGGATTCAAAACGAGTAGAATAATTCAGCAGAAAAGTATGAGGGTCTATGATGGGAGATGCTTGGGATCGGAGAAAATGCCTCGAGCTCGTCCAGAGCGTCCAAACCCTCGCAGCTGCCAAGGATCTACACGCAGCCATTGTGAATTGCAGGGATTTCTCTTCCAGCCGCGATATCTTCTTCTCCAACAAGCTCATCGAAATGTATGGGCGGTGTGGGAGCGTCCTCCACGCGCAACAAGCCTTCGATCGAATCGCCGCCAAGGATAACTTCTCGTGGGTGTTGCTGCTACACGCGTACTCCCGCAATGGCTACTTGAGAGAGGCCAAATCCACCTTTGACGCGATGCCCCAGCCCAACATGGTGGCCTGGAACGCGATGCTTGCGGCATTTGCCAAGAACGGGCAATTGCAGGGAGCGAGACAAATCTTTGACACAATGCCAGCGAGAAATCTCGTCTCGTGGGTCACAATGCTTGATCTGTATGCACGAAACCACCTAGCTGGCGATGCAACTTGGTTTTTTGATAACATGCCTGACAAAGATCTTGTATCATGGAACGCTATATTGTCCGCAAATGCCCGTTGTGGGTGTTTAGAGAAATCTAAATCTCTCTTTGAAACTATGCCGCTAAGAAATGTAATTTCGTGGACGAACTTGCTAGTTGCTTATGGCCAAAAGCATTTAGTTTTAGAGTCTAGGAGAGTCTTTGATTTAATGCCTGAAAGAGACCAAGTTGCATTAACATCACTGCTCGCAGTGTATGCCCAGGCTGGGCATATTGAAGAAACGCGGCTGGTTTTTGATGGAATCCAGCACCAAGACATGGCGTCGTGTTCTACCATGCTGGGGGCGTATGCCCAAAACGGGCACCTTGACGAAGCCAAGAAGATTTTTGATAACATGCCAGTTTGTGATCTCGTCTCTTGGAACTGCCTTGCCAGTGCTTATGTGTGGAATGGGGATTTGGAGTCGACGAAGCAAGTCTTTGATGTTATGCCGGAGAAGAATGTGTTCTCCTGGACGATCATTCTCGCTGCTCAAGCACAGAGAGGCCATCTTGGAGACGCTGCAAAAACTTTTAGAGGAATGCCACAGCGAGATTCCATCTCATGGAGTGCTATGCTCGCTGCCTACACGCAAAATGGAAAGCCAGAGATTGCCGAGGAGATTTTCCACGAGCTCAAGATGGTTTACTCCCCGGATCATGTATCTTTCGTCTCTGGAATGATAGCTTGTGCGCATCAAGGCAAAGTTTACCAAGGACGATGCCACTTTGTGTCCATGGTCGAAGATTTTGGCCTCCCTCCACTCAAGCAGCACTACTCGTGTGTGATTGACTTGCTTGGAAAGGCGGGATACTTGGAGTTTGCTCACGAGCTCATGAGTTGTATGCCTTTTGTGCCGGAAGCCGTGGACTGGCTCTCCTTCCTGGGCTCGTGTCGAAGTTACAAAGCTCTTGGCTATGGCGCTTTTGTCGCAGGCAGTGCTCTTGACTCTGGAGCCGTGAAGGACTCGTCAGGTTATGTCCTTCTTGCAAGTCTCTTCTGCATGGAGAAGAAGTGTGTCGGTACAATGAGGAGCTAAATCTCTCTCGAGAAGCCATTCATCCTGGTATTGGTGATGTAATCTTTGATTCAAGGCTGGCTGAGAGATTTCAGCCATATGTTCTTCAGAACATATGAAGAAGAGCTCTCATTGCAACCTCCCAAGTCAGAATCTCTTTGTGTTGATGATCCATCTCTCTGGCTCCTAGGCTTTCCGGCACATAGAGATGAGCTCAAACTTCCACCCCGACCGAAAAGATCGACCACGCAGCTAAAGTATGATCGTTCTAGCTCTCCTCAGTTGATGTTTGTGATTAACCACGAGAACTTAAACATGGACTTGGTTTGTTCAAATTTTCCATTATCTGCATAACCAGCCAGCATTGTGTTAGAGGGTACCATGGAGGCATTGTCTGTTTTTGATATCATGTAACAGACACCTTGCCTCCTCTATCTCAACGCATTGAGCATACACACGACACAATGTCGCTCCTCCATCCCATCGAACACCTCCTTTTGCCTGTTTCAAATGCCCGGAATTGGCTAACGCCAAAGGATAGAGTAGTTGTCGAGACCAAGTTTCTCTCTGGCATTGCTTCAAACAATTGTAATGCTGAGTCATGCTTTCCACCTCTTATAAACGCCGACAACATTGCATTGTAGCTCACAAAGCTTCTCTCGTCAAAAGTTTTCTTTTCAGTTAAAAAACTGCCTTCTAGGCAAGAAGGGCCTAAGCTCGGGCCTGAAGTGAAAACTTTAGGCCTTATCCAAAATTACCATTTGTGTGCATATGCAGCGAGCATGCATTCCAGGCGCCATGATTGTTTGTGTCATTTCATCAGACAGTTTCTTTGCCTCTTTACAATGCCATGTACTATTAAGAATGTTTAGTAGTATGCACCAAGTTGTTTGATAACAAGAACCCCTTGGCTCAAGCAACAATCTCAAAAGTTTGGTTGCAATTAATTGTCTTGCTAGTGTCTAGACTAAACACATTTACAAAGAGAGGAAATGAAGGAAAGATCACCAAAGAAAAGTTTTGTGGCCTTTTTGTAAACATGAAAGTGAGGTTAACAAAGATGAATGGACATGAAAACCACTATTATGGCTTTTGTAGCACTTATCCAAAAACAATGGGACATATACCTCCCTAAGTCCATTAAACTCTTCATTAAAGACTTTGATCATAGGGCTGTAAAAACTGAAATCTATGATAAAACCCTGTTACAACTATGATTGCTTAGAAGTTTGTTTCAACTTTTGAAATCTTCTTCTTCATGTCTGGGGCATGAGTTAAATCTGTGAACCCAGGCACTTTAACCCAGTGGCAAACCCATCTAGGAACTTGGATAGCTTAAAAAGACATTAGCCCAGCATAGTGGGGCTACCTTCAAAACATCAATGAGGATTAGAAAGAGAAAACAACCCAGCGAAAAATGATGTATAGTACTTGTGTGTGAGCAGCCACTCTTGGCACTATCGAGAGATCTCCGGTGAGTAGCTTCCATCCAAGTCACGTTTCCTACGCCTCAAGAATGTAGCATTTTTTATGAGGATTTCCCAGGTACTCCATAAGAGGTGCGAGTCACCATTTTGAGCAAGTGTGCATCCTGGCAATCATGTCTTCGAAGATCTCTTTGAAGCAAGCGAGCAGCAGCCCAAGAAACAATGTTAGTTTCAGGCATAGACACGAAGGGTTCTGTGGCTTCAGAGAGCAAACCATGACCATGAAGACAATAAGAATTGCAGTCCATCTAGCTGCCCCCGTAACACTAATTACCAAACATCTCGATCACAGCTTGATGAGAGGTTGATTCGTCACCACCGTGCCTGATCGCGATTGCGCAGCTGCAAGCTGGACGATCCTGCGAATCCGATAGACCATCGCTGATTGCTCTAAATCGACGCCAGGAACACGGAGTCCATCTCTCCAAGCTAATCGAAATGTATGGCAAGTGTGGAAGCACGAGGTACGCGAAGGGGATTTTCAACGCCATTGCCAGCCGAGGAGCAAGTGCTGTCCTGGTGCGCTCGGCTTTCTGCAAGAACAGACGAAACGAGGTGGCTAGGAATGAGCTCGTCGACTCATCGCCTGGAATACCATGCTCGGGGAATAAAGCCAAATTGGAGCTTGAGTCCATGTCTGTTGTAGTCTAGGTGGTCGAAGTCTTTGAAGAAGGATCTAATGGATTTGGGGAGGTATATATTCTGTTATTCCTAGATAAATGCTGCCAAAACCATAATAGTGATTTCCATGATCATTTGTTTTTGCCAACTTCACTTTCATGTCTAAAGAAGGGCTTAAGAGCTCATTCTTTAACAATCTTTCCTTTGTCTCCTTTCTTCAGTGTATCAAGTTGGGACGCTAGTGCAATAATCAGTTGCAACCAAACTTTTGAGATTGTTGCATGAGCCAAAGTCTTGGCACAGTAGGCCTTCCAAATCTCCACAAGAGTATATCCCTTAAGGACATCAAAAGGCTTATGTTTGGTTAAGTTGGTTGAGGTAAGGGTTCTCACTTCTAAGTGTTCAGGTGTTTAGCCTTTCCCTAGAGGAAACAACCCCAAAGTATTGATTCATAAGTTATGGATATGCCATTTTGAGAGGTTCTTTTGAGAATTGCCATGGAACCTTCCCACTTTCTGTGTTGCTGAACATTCCCATAGGATATGGCATTATATCTCTATTGCTCCATAGAGTCTGCAAGCTAATTACCACAAGTGAGGGTGGGCACTTCTGCTGGGCAAGCCATATGAAGTATCAGGCAGCGACCTATTCATGCACTATAGATAGTTTCGGGAGTGAATTTATTATGCTCTTGCTTTCTCGATGAATGTGGCCTGTACCAGGGTATAAACCACTCTCTGGCTGAGTTTGGTCTCATATTGAAATAATTTTTTATATATGTCCCTCCATTGCCATTCCACTAGATCCCATTTGGAGTTATTTTAATGTCTATTAGTACCAGTAAAGTTGGGCATATTGTCTTTATGGTACCACCAAGTCTATATATGCTGTTTTTTTTTCCATTTGGATAACATAGACTGACTTGGCATGACTTCCTTGTATTCAGGGATGTCAATGGGGAGTAGCCTTCCAGACTTAATAGATCGTACACTGATCTCATCTTTCCACAACCATGAGTTCCAGGTCAACGGGAAAATGCTCGGCAAAATGGAAGAACTAGGCTTGGACCAAACTTACAAAGACCTACACAAGGTGGGATTATGCACCTTCGCAGGGGTTGACACTATGATCCAAGAGCACTAGATGGTTAATAATTGTGATCAAATAAGAGCTTTCTACAGCCTGGACATTTTGGAACATATGATGTGAAATTTCAAACACAGTAGTAGTCTTCCAAAATGAGCACCACTAGTATATACACCACTAGTAATGCTGCTGCTGAATTGTTAGTCTTTTCTGTTTTAGGAGTATGGCCTCTACTTTGTCATGTCTACTCAAAATGAAGGATTCAATGACTTGTCCCAGGCGGTAGGATTGGTTTGGTGAGGTAGCAAACTTAAATGGCAAGTTGAAGGAGGGGATTTACAATGTCTATGTGCATTCAAACAGGTATACCTTGCCAATGTTCCTCTCCGATCTGAGCAAGGATCGGCTGCCTTCGTTTGTGAAGGCAGTGATGTCAAACTCAGGGACTAATGAGGAAATGAAAGATGTTATGCTAAAGTCGGGCGTCAAGGATCCCGCTCTAGAACACTGGATCCCTGCTATGCAGCTGCATTTGCTCTATGTAAGTCCACAAAATCGAGGGCACTGGCCTGCTGCGTTTTGGACAGTGGAACCATTATTATAGACAATGAAAGTGCTTCAAGAGTGTTTGGAGAGCTGTACCTTGATGGGAACAAAAAAAATGAGAGAGAAATTCATGAGTAGTACACCCTAATAAGTTGCGATCTTCATCCTCTCCAGCAGCTCATCAAGGTGCTATCCAAGTATTTCCAATCCTGTCCATGGAACGGCATGGAATGCAACATGACCTTTAATGGTCCTTGACGAGTTGACAAGTGCTTTCGTTAAATGGCATGGGCGAGGTGGAGAGATTCGTGCTCGTCGCGCTGTACATCCAGGACGACCCATCCATGAAGGCCAGAAGATCCCGTCGATTGCAAAGAGCGCCAGGACTGCAAGGCGCAGCACCAGGGCTCCGGCTTCTCCCGCTCCGTTGAATAGATGAAAAAAATCGCATATATAGTAGAACTTGTAGATCAAAATACCACGAATGATCTAAAAAAAAAACCCATGTACGCCAAGGTCGAAATGAAAGCAAGAAGAAACTTGGCAGCAAAAAATGTAGAGAATGTCTCTAGTCACAAAGAATCGAAACCCGGCTGCCTCCATTTCCTATCAGCCGGTGCCAGGACTTACACGTCGTGCAGTGCGCGAAACTGAAGCCTTTCTGCAACCCCGGCTTGCAGCTAGTTCTTTTTAGAAATCTAGAGAACCGCCAGTGATCCAGGCAACAAATTTCGCGGCATGGCGCGATGAAATCCCGAACAAGCGATCATTTTCTGCAATTGGGTACAGTTTTTCAATTCACTAATGCAGTGATTAGAAGTAGAGAATGGTAGCATCACATTGCAAGGAGACGACATCAGTTTTTCTAGCTGCGGACACCCGCTGAATATGAACAACTCTCTGAGGGGAACAAACACTTCGACATACTTTGAGAAGATATCAGGCATGAGGAGATGTGATTGCAAAGCAGACATGCTTACGAAGACTACTGTTTGGACACAGCAGTTGAAGGAAACTCAAACCACAAGCTATTGTAACCTGGGGCGGGGCCAGGTGTAAGCAATGGAAGATCTGATCTAATTTAGATCTTTAAGATGGATCAGAGCGTTGAAACTCATGTATAGAAGACCCAATGGGGACACTAGCTAGCTCCATCACACTCAAGCAACACTATTCGTGTGTCATCAACGTGCTCGGGAAGGCGAGATGCTTGGAGTTTTCTCAAGAGCTACTGCCTCTCCTTCCTGGTATGGCCTATCGTCGCAAGCCGTGCTCTGGAATCTGGAGCCGTGAAGAACTCATCAGCTTATGTCCAAATCTCTTCTCTGGAGAAGAAGCGTGCTGGTATAATGAGTGAAATCCGCAGCTAAATTTCTCTCGAGCAGCCTTTCATGGACACTTGATGTTTGATTTCAAGGAAGCAAGCTGCTTGAGAGAAGAACATACGAAGAGGAGCTCTCATCGCATTCTCTCACGTCGAGATCCACTCTGAATTGATCACGAGCTTCTCTTTGAATTGGTGTGGTTGTTCCATCCCTCTGGCTCCTCAGAAAGCTTCTATAGTCAAGGCTCTCAGGAACATAAGGCATGCTAGAGATGAGATCTCGAGCGTCACCCAAGCTTCCACCTCGGCCGAGAAGATCGACCATGCAGCTGAAGTGCTCCTTGGTCGACTTGATGCCATAGTCGACTCTCATTGAAAAGAAGTAGCCTCGACCAATGCTTGCTTTCCCGGCGTGGCTACACACTAGAAGCACAAGCAAGAAGCATGGAGCGTCCGGTGAATCGACCAACTTGATCATGCTAAAGATCTCGATGGCCTCTTGAAACCTTCCCAGGTTTGCATAAGCACCAAGCATTGTAGTCCACGAAACAATATCATGCTCTGGTGTCATTACAAAGATCGCATTTGCTTGCTCTAGCTCGCCTCTGTTAACGTTAGCGACCAAGAGGGTTGTCCATGAAAATTTATCTCCACTCTGGATGTCATCAAATATGGATTTAGCCTTCTCAAGCTCTCCATTATCGGCATACGCAGCCAGCATTGTGTTCGAAGCTACCAAGTCTTGGAAAGGCCATGGTGTCAAAAAGAAATTTTGACTCTTCAAGATGCCCGCTTTGAGCATATGCAGTCAGCATAGCGTTCCAGGATATCAGGTTTCTCTTTGGCATTCCATCAAACAAAATCCTTCCTTCCTCAAGCCCACTGCACAGGGCGTACGCGGTTAGCATTGCGTTCCATGACACAATGTCACGCTCCTCCATTCCATCAAACACTTCCTTTGCCTTTTCCAAATGCTTGCCATTAGCTAATGCTGTAAGAATAGTCGTCGAAGATATTAAGTTCCTCTCCGGCATCACTTGAAACAAATTTAAAGCTGAATCGTATTTTCGAAATTTTACAAACGATGCCAACATTGCATTGTAACTCACAAAGCTTCTCTCTGGCATCGAGTCAAACGTTTTCTTAGCAGAAGCAAAATGCCCTTTCGCGGTAAAAGCCGAAAGCATTGCTGTCCAGGCAAGAAGACTTAGTTCGGGCATGGAATGGAACATCTCTTGGGCTTTATCCAAGTAACCATTTTGTGCATAAGCAGTCAGCATAGCGTTCCAGGAAACCAAGCTTCTCTGCGGCATCTCATCAAACAGTCTCTTTGCTTCTTCCATATGCCCAACATGGGCATATGAAGAGAGCATAGTATTCCATGCGATGAGGACGCGGTGGTTACCGACGAGCTCATTAAATAGCTTCGTAGCCTCGTCAATCCGCCCGTTCTTGCAGAAAGCCGAGAGCATCAGGACAGCAGAGAAAGAATCTCTATCCCCGGCAGGAATGGCGTCGAAAATCCCCTTGGCGTCCCTTGCGCTTCCACACTTGCCATACATTTCGATTAGCTTGTTGGAGAGATAGACTCCGTGTTCCTGGTTTCGATCTAGAGCGATCTCCGCGTGAATCCTCCGGGCATCGCAGAGATTTTTGCAAGAGCGAATGCGGTCAAGCCAGCTATCCATGAATGCATTGGTGGGTTCTTTGCTGGCATGGAGAAAGAGTCCCGCATCGCCGTGTCAAACACCTCTCTTGCGAGCTGTGGGCTGCCGGATTGCCAAACATCTCGATCAGCTTGTTGAGTGGGAGGAAGATTCATCGCCACCGTGCCTGATTGCGATTGCGCGCCGCACGCCATGATCGATCTCTCGAGCTAGATACAGCGACATGCATGCCTCGATCCTGAGAACCCATGGGCGTGAAGGATAACTGCTTCGGCCTTCTTGACCAGACTGGATAGACACACTCATATCCAGGAATATCATGCTCTCGGCTATTGCCCAAGACAGGTATCTTTAACTCTGCGAAGTTCATCTTTGATTCTATTGCAGTTGTCAGTATTCTCTCTTGGTTCACATTTACTGTCTTCATGGATCATGCTTTGCTCTCTGAAGCTGGAATCCCCAACACCTGCAACCTTGAAGCTTGTCCCTGGCAAAAAAGAACAACCCCTAGGATTATGCAGGAAATTTGCCACCAAGTGCCAATTAAGATTGAGTAGTTGAAGGTAGAAAGAGAAAGATCCTTTTAATGGCATTGTAATTGTATAAAGGTTTTTCAAGTTGGAGACATTTACAAAAGTGAATAAATCCATTTGATCTAAAGCTTACAGACTATTTTAAACCAACTTGAAAATCAATTGTTTGATGAGAGGGTTGTTAGTAGCTATTTATCCCTTGATGTTTTAAGAATTCACAGTGACAATAAATCTAAATTTCATTTTATAATCATATGCGCCAAAATTATGGCTTTTGTGTTAGTCACGAAAAATTCTTTAAATCATATAGCAGCATTAATTAAAATTCAACTAGCCAAGGGCAGCCTTTGAGAGTATGTCAAATTGCAATATAGAAGATGGAATTTCATAGAGAGTTGTCTCTTGAAGTTACAGCTATAGTTAAAATAAAGATTTATATGTCAAATTATTGTCAACTCATTAAATATATGCATAAGTTGATGTAGCACACATAATTTTCACCCTTTACTCTATAATAATTTACTATAAGATAACCATGAAGCAAAACCCAAACCTTTAGCCATGTGTCAAAATGTAATAGAGTAGAACTTGAGTTTTAAGGTCTTTGGGCCACAACAAAAGGATAGAGTTAAACTCCTAAGCATATAGCCAAGGAGTAAAAGAAGCAAAACATAGTACAATTTTTGAGTGTATACCCTAAAGAGTAAAGGGATAGGAACACAGAGTGACTCATAAATCTAAAGCTAAGGAGCAAAGAGATAAGAGTATAGAGCAACTCTCAAGCATATAACCCAAGAAGCAAAGGGACAAGAGCATAAAATGATATTAGAATAATTTTAAAGCATTTAGCATTCCAATGCCAAAACCAATATACAAAATAGAGCCAAATGAAGTTTGGTACAATTTCAATATACCAATGGCGTAATGTGAGGATATGAATACTCCACTAGCTAACATAATATGGAGTTTGGGGTTTATACCCAAGCTGAATATAAAAGAAGGATAAGCATGCAAACAAAAGTTAAACTATACCTAAAATTGGTTTACCATAGCCAACCCACTATCCCTACTATACATTTGGAACCCCTACACAATTGCCCCCCCCCCTCCCCCCCCTAAAAAAACACAAATCCTTTGGGCTTTCACTCTAGTCTTTAGAGTTAGTCTCTAGGACAACTATAAAAACTTATTAAATATGGAATGGTGTTAGATGTTGTTAAATTATGAATTTTGATGCAAGAATTTGATGCAAGAATAACACCATTATATTTAAGATAATTTTTACATTCCATAGATATGCCTCACTAGCATATCTAAACACTATCCAAAAATAGCAAGAGGGGCTAAAAGGAACTAACATATAGGGTATAATAACTAGAGTGTTTTGGTGAATATAGTAAGTTACTATATGGCAAGTATTGAGGGACTAAACTTAATATCACAAAGGTTCCTAACACTAAGAAGTACAAGTCAATAATATAAATTTTTCATCATCATTGTATTGCATTCTATTTCTTTCCTCTTAAGTCAATTAGAAAAGAGAGCCATTAATAGCTATTTTATTTTCATTTATCCCCCAAAGTTCTACAGATCTATGGTAATATGATTATATATGTGTTACACTCACCCCTCCAAGGATTCACGATAACAATATATTGAAATATCATCCCATGATTACATGTATTATACTCATTGCCTCCCGCCCACCCCCTCCCCCCCCCCTGCCCCCTATCTAGAGATTTTAATGTCCTTGTTAACAATTAATTAACAACCCTTACTAAACTAAGGGGAACAAAAAATACATAAAAATACTCATGAATGCCTAATATATATGATTTCAATTTTAAGGAATATACCTTACTTAAGAATGTATTATATTTTAGATAGCCAGTAATCAATGAGAATCAAATTTGTACTATTTATTTCAATATCATATGTAACACACTTTATCTCTCTCCTTTTAAGCCAACTGGAAAATGGGAAATTGCTTGATGAGAGAGTTTTTAGTGGCAATTTTATCCCCATTTCCCCATTTATCCTTTAAAGTCCAAATCTCATCCCATGATTACATATGGTATAAGCTATAAGTTTTTAAATCTAGACTTCTTGGGTACTACTCAAACTCAAAGACACTTAACTCCAAATATCCTAAGACCTTTAATCAATTGAAAAAGAGGTTGTATTTTTATTCATAAGCCCTTTCCCTTTATATTTAAATTTTATAAATTGTCTCTTTGAGTTGTTTCCTTTGGTTACTTACCTATCCATGTCAAATATGTTTGACTAAATAACAACTTAGGATTTCCTCCTTTAGTACCTTTTTGGTCTAAGTGCATATGTGATTATTAGTTTCTTAATTAATTTAGGTCGAGACTAATAAAGGGTCTAGCAATACTGATCTCTTGCCATTGTAATAATAAAGAAAAAATATCTGAAAGGACTCATTGACATGTAACTTTTGATACTTGCAATTACATTCATAACACTCTCCCCTCCTTAGGGAAGATTAATGTCTTTGTCAATGCATACTCTAGTCTAGATTATTGTCAAGGAAACAACTTTAGAAAAATTTTATAGTGTTCACAATTTGTGAAAAATGCACCAATTTAAATGAGTTAGGGGCAACCTTTCTTTCAAATGAAAATGTGCTACAACTTAGACATGTTTCGATTGTCATTGACAACGAAATAACAAATGGAGTTAGCCATCTTTGCTACTTTGGGTGTCACCCAGTTGCCTATAGGGGATATAGAGAGAAAATTTAGAGGCCCCAACCCTTCTGAGAGAACAAACTAAACCTGTTGATAAGGTTTAGATAGATTATTATAAGTAGATAGTTAGGCTTGTTTACACAATCACACCCTTTTAACAAAATAAGGAACATCAAAAGAGAGGTGGGTTATATGTATCCCATGATTAGAAATTTCACAATGCACATGAAGTACTAAAGCTAGTCTGCCTTTACTAGCCCAAACCTAAAGATCAAGAGATAAACAATATCAAAGTCATAGATAATGATATCTTAAACACAAGAGTATTCCAATCAAGTTATTATCTGATAAACTAATATAGTAGAGGAACCACCAAGATCATCATAATTAGAAGACATATGATTAACCATCCAAAAAAATTCAATAGCAAGTGTACCATCAAGAACACTTAATGATAAAACTTAACTATCAAAGATTGTAGATGGTATGCCAAACTTATGAAAAAAAACTAAAAGAATATAAAGTATAATTGATAAATAAGTAAAATGTTGACAAATATATCACCTGAAAGAAATAACATCCTAATCTATCAATTGGTGATATTTTTTGGATGGTGATTTTAGGTGATTTCATCCAAAGATTTTCTCTATAGTAATGCAGAAAGCCAAAAACCATTAAAAAAATATCTAACCATCATTAAAGATCATTAATCATCTCATCAATAAAGAGATGCATAATCATCATCAAATATATAATCCACATCAATCATTACTAATGATTGCTAGATGCAAACATTAACTCTAATATCAAATCTAATAAGCCAAAATGCCTTTCTAACAACTCCTAGTAAATGAAACAATGAGCATAAGAATTTAAAGAACCAAAAGCTTGAAGAATCATATAACCAAGTCTCACATAATAATGATCACAAATCTCACATAAATTAACTTTAATGCTATAGAAGAAATCATGGTACAACCCACAATATCCTTTTTAATACATCTATATGCTAAATTTTATAATGCAAAAGCTAATGAAAAGTATGTTTACATTAATCCAAAAATTAAGCATAATGAAACTATGCCTAACAAGTGATTATCAAAAAATCTTTTTTAAATCCCCTTATCCATAGCAAGACATAACTCACTTTATAGCAAGAGTAATAAAAATCATTAATGATTATTATACCTCAATTCAAACCCTAAAGATTCAACAAATCCAATTAATCACTAATTTTTCCTTTTGCAAAGCTAGTATAGTCTATGACAAAGTCACTTTTCAAGAAATAACTAAAACTCAAGCCCTATTAAAAAATTTCATCTCAAATACAACTAACTCAACTTGCCACTCAATTTATTTGAATGCTAATAAGCTCTATTTCGTTAAAGTGGGAATTGTCATTATCCCACTTGTAAAATAAGGTTTCCAAACCTTTATATAGTATATAAATATAACAAAATTCAACTGCATTGAGGCACATGCCATTTTATTTTAAACAAGGAAATGTCTACTCAATCACTTCTCCTCCCTCTGCCACTGCTTCACCTCTCTCTTCTCCTTGTCATCGTCGTCCAATTTCTTTCCATCCTTTTAATATTGGCTCAGTTGCTCCGAGTCTAGGTGGAGCCCAAGTCCCCATTCAATCTTTACTTTCCCATTATTAATAAAACAACTTCGTAGACTTCCATAACATGCTGTAACACTTCTAGTATAATGCAAATCCTCTCAAAGAATTGTCTTTTAATATTAGACAATGGCATGGAACCCCATGCCATAA